CTTGATTAAGAACCTTTTTTTCACACTTTTTTATTTCTTAATTTTGATTTTTCAGTTAAAGTTGACATACAATTTTATATTAGTTTCATTTATACAATATAGTGACATTTATATATTTATAGTAATAAATTTATTTATTACTTATGAAGTAAGACCCTTTCGATTTCTCTTGCTAACTTGCAACTTGCACATTGTGTTTTTGTTTGTTTGTTTGTTTAAATCCTCACCCGAGGATATTTTTCCCATTGAGGAACGAGGTGGGGAAGAGGGGAGGGAGAAAGAGAAAGAGACATCAATGTGAGAGAGACACATTGATTGGTTTCTGCAAGCATTGGTTTCGGGGTGCAACCCAGGTAGGTGCCCTTCACTGGAATTGAACCTGAGACCCTTTATTGCACAGACCAATGCTTCAACCACTGAGCCACGCCGGCCAGTGTGTGCTCATTGTGTTATATCCAGGTGTAGGTAGTGCAGAATTGGCATTAGAACTTAGATCTCCTGATTCCAAGTGCACTGCCGATGGCACTCTATTTGATTGCATTTTCCACACCAGAATTCTTGTTTTGTATTTGGTGCATTTAATCTTGGCTTTGTCATTAACCAACCATGAGACGTTGGAAAGTTACTTAGCTACTCTATATCTCAGGTTACTATTCTGTAAAATAGGATAATAGTATCATTACCTTCTCTTTGGGATTGTTAATAGGATTAGATGAACATATACATTTAGCATATAATAAGTACTCAATGCATGATGGCTTTAATCTGATAATAAAAAAGTAGTATTAATAGTAATTCAAGGAATTGTATTTAATTATATATAACCATATTATTCTTAGTTTATTAATTTGGTGAAGTTCATGTTCCTTTTGACTCTTCTAGAGTGCTAGTAGTAGTTTTTTGGCAGGTCATAGTAGAGGAATTAAGGCCAAAAATAATGAAGTGATTTGCCCTGAGTCACCTTGCTAGACTAATTCCAGGTTGTCTGAATTCTAATGCTTTGTCACTGGATATGCTTCCTCTCTAATTAAGTAACTCTATTAAAATGGAGCACAATGTCCATTTTGTTTTGGCCTCAAAAATTAATTCTACTTTCTCTCTCAAACATGGCTTACAACTCAGCATTCTTATTTATGTTATCTTTTAAGTTACAGTAATTTTGAAAGTATTCTAAGAATTTAGTTAAAGTTGAAAATTGAAAACCTTGTCATTAAAAAGTAACCCCATAATTGAAAGATGTTATACATCTTGTTTTCATTTGCATTAAGTTGATGTCCTTAATACATTTAACTTTTAAGATTGGAGATAGTTTAGCACAGTGGTTGGCAAACTCACTGGTCAACAGTACAATGATTGAAATTTCTTTTGAGAGCCAAATTTTTTAAACTTCTTCTAACACCACTTCTTCAAAGTAGACTCGCCCAGGCCATGGTATTTTGTGGAAGAGCCACACTCAAGGGGCCAAAGAGCCACATGTGGCTCGAGAGCTGCAGTTTGCTGACCATGGCTTTAGGTGATGGGAATTTATTGTTGGATTCTGAAGGAAGGTAGCCCAACAGTCACTGCAGTTGTACTGAATTCAGTCTTTGGAAACTAACAAGTTGTCTCCTCAATCCACACCTTCTTGCCCTCAGCTTCCTTCCACTAAGTCATTTTCATGTGAAATCAATATGTATAAAACAGGTAAAACTTGAGGTGCACTGATTCAAGTGAAGATGAGAGGGTTGATCTCTGTTACCCTCTTTTCCCTCTTGTGCCCTCACACTTCCTCCTCTTTTTCTCTTCACCTTAAGGCCCTTTTAAGGATCTGCAGTACCTTATGAAAGAAAACTGTAACAAGTCATTACTCACTAACTAGAATAGCGAGTAACTCTGTGGGCCCTGTTTTTGCTTTGGTGATTCATTGGCAACTCTAATTATTGCCATTCCCTTCAGATCTGTACCTACTACTCTTTTCTCTGGTCACCATCTGGATCTACTAAGTCTCCACTTGCTGACCATAAACCCAGTTCTAAATTAACTGCAGCAATGACAACTCTAAAAATTGGATTAAAATATTCATATTTCTATTTTCTTAATTTTCCCTAAAGGCACACATCCCTCTTGATAATCTTCCTACTCTACATTTTTAGAAAGTTTGGGAGGGGAATCCTGGGAAGTAGAGTGATTTCATTTCCTCCTTCCCATGTTATTGTACAGCAAGCCTAGTACCTTTATTTTTTTGTCTGTGCTGTACTTTTAATTTATCTTTACTACTTGCATTTTTGTTGTTGCCAAGTTTGAGGTTCCTTATTCAGTAGCCTTATTTGGTTAAGGCAGAAGGATTTGGCAAGGTCAGGGTGGTTATGAGAAAGTGATAAAATTGGAAAGATAGGCAGGTGCTGGGGTAGATGGTCAGAGCCTTGTATCTCATTTCAAGAAATTTGTATGTTATAGTTAGTGGAGAGCCTCTAAAAAAAATGAAATAGATGAGGGACATAGGAGAGGGGTTGGAAGAGGGGAATGACAAAGTTATTAATTTTTTAAAGGTAACTTCGATATCTGTGTTGAGGAAGATAAATAGGAGAAGGTACCTTATAGAAAAGAGACCAGTGGTCTTCAGACTAACAGCAGCATAACACCTGGGAAATACACATTCTCAGGCCTTCCCTCAGACCTATTGAATCAGAAAATCTGGGGGTGGGGTGCAACAGTCTGTGCTTTATTTGATTCTTATGCATGCCAAAGTTTGAAAGGAGGGATATGGAGTCCATTGAGATTAGATTTCAGTTTGCAAATGTTTTTCACATTAATTACATAGTTGATTTAGTTGAGATGTTCATTATGTTTGTGTTTTATATTCATAACTAGAGGCCTTGTGCACGAAATTCGTGTGTGTGGGGGTGTCCCTCAGCTCAGCCTGCACCCTCTCTAATCTGGGACCCCTCAAGGGATTTCCCACTGCCCATTTAGGGCAGTCAGACATCCCTCTCACAATCCAGGACTGCTGGCTCCCAACTGCTCACCTGCCTGCCTTCCTGATTGCCCCTAACCACTTCTGCCTGCCAGCCTGATCATCCCCTAACCACTCCCATGCCAGCCTGAGTGATGTCTAATTGCTCCCCTGCCAGCCCGTTTGTCCCCAACTTCCCTCCTCTGCCGGCCTGGTCACCCCTAACTACCCTCCCCTGCATGGTTGATCACCTTCAACTGCCCTCCCTTGCAGGCCTAGTCCCTCTCAACTGCCCTCCCTTGCTGGCCATCTTGTGGTGGCCATCTGTGTCCACATGGCAGTAGGATCTTTGACCACATGGGGGCAGCTTTCTTGATCTTGTGTGTTGGAGTGATGGTCAATTTGCATATTACTCTTTTATTAGATAGGATAGAGGCCTGGTGCATGGGTCAGAGCCAGCTGGTTTGCCCTGAAGGGTATCCCAGATCAGAGTGGGGGTTCCCTTGGGGCGTGGGGCAGTCTGGCCGAGGGGCCTGTGGTGGTTTGCAGGCCAGCCATGCCCCCGGCACCTCAAATGGAAGCCCTGGTATCTGGGGTTTATTTATCTTCTACAGTTGAAACTTTGTAGCCTGGAGTGGGGGCCTGAGCCAGCCAGAGGAGGGGGAATGCTTGGCTTCCTCTGTCACTGCTCTCTCCAGCTCCATGGCTGCTGCCATTTTTCTTGGGATTTATCTTCTATAATTGAAACTTTGTATCTTTGAGTGGAGGCCTGGGCCAGCCAGGATGTGTGGATACTTGGCTTCCTCCATTGCTGGGGAAATCCAAGCCTCCCTCTTACTCTCTGTGGCAGCAGCCATCTTGGTTGGGATTAATTTGTATACTTGCTCTGATTGGTTGGTGGGCGTGGCTGGTGGATATGACTTGGCGTAGCAGAGTGATGATTAATTTGTATATTATTCTTTTATTAGGTAGGATTCTATTTATAATCAAGAGAAATCCTATATAATAAAAGCCCAATATGCTAACTGTCCAGTTGTCCAGTTGTCCATTCAACCAACCAAAGCAAAATACGCTAAGGATATACTAAGGCCAGTCAACCACTGGCTATGACATGCACTAACTATCAGGGGCCAGATAGACGACTGGTTGACCAGTCGCTATGAAGTGCACTAACTACCAAAGGGCAGACACTCTGACTAGTAGGTTAGTTTGCTGCTGGGGTCTGACTGATCAGGACTGAGCGAGACAGGCCAAAGATGCCCTGGAGCCCTCCCGTGGTTTCTCCCCCGCTGTCCCTCTCCTGTCCCTCCCTGGTCCCAATTGTTCATCTGGCCCTCTCATAATCCAGGCTGAAGGACACCCCTATCTCCCCCACCTCCCCTCTGAAGGCACTAATTTGTGCACCAGCCTCTAGTAGAGTAAATATTTAGGTTATTTTGATTGAGTTATTTGCATATAGACCTACTATTAAAATATTTGAAAAACTGGGATAGTATGGTAGGTAATCTATTATACTTGGGAAAGGGGAGACAGTCCAGGGTCATGTGGGAAAATGAACTATGGTCAGTGGAAGTATTGGAATAAAATAAACAAGTAAGAGGTACTTCATTTTGAGTGCTCTAGATGTTCCCTGTTTAAGACATCGATTTGTAAAGTGGTACTTGGAATCTGTATAAGGGAAAACTGATGGAAGATGTAGGAAGAGGAACCTGAACTCTGTGTGGAGTCTGAAGAAAAGGATGATGGGTTTTCCCAAGATTTGTTAAGATGCTCTTGTGCAATTATTACGATAGTTACACAGCTAGTAAGACATGGTCTATTTTCAGTTTGTATATAATTGCGAGCATCTGATTTGCAACTAACCCAGTCTTTTTTTTTCTTTGAGGGTGCAAAGGCTGTGTGTTTAAATTTCAACTTTGTTGAAATGGAACTAAAGTAAATCTAATAATCTTCTCTATTTTCCTCTGTTAGCTTTGCTAGGTGATCAAAAGTACAGATAAAGCAGATGCTTTGTAAATTGTGTCTTAAATGTTAAGTAAAAATTTTCCCCCTTTACATTTTATTCCAGGACCCATCAGTTACACAGGTGACAAGAAATGTTCCACCAGGACTTGATGAATACAATCCATTCTCGGATTCCAGAACAGTAAGACTATTCTTAATTGGACAACTTTTAAATGTTAAAAGTGAAGTTAAATAGCAATTATATATCAATTGTTTTTTTAGTTGCATGGTTAAATTTATTTAAAACAAGCTGTTAGTATTTTATTTATAATTTAGCAATTTAACTTTTGTGTTTTTAAACGAAGTAATATCAGTAGTAATTGAAATTTACTTTGATGATCCTAGGGAAATACTGCAAATTTTCTTTTATGTTCTACAAATTAAATTGCTAACAATCCCTCAAATATGTAAATCTTACTGCAGTACTTTAAATAGAAGAGAGACTTTTTGTGTGTTGTTTTTTTGTTTTTGTTTTTGTATATGTGTTATCTTTATGGTAATGTGGGGTGATGTTTTCTTACAGTGAAACAGACCTATGTATGTAACTGTATCATGAATATTTGTATGATTGTCATTTTTTAATTAAATTATTATCTGTGTACATATACCATTGCGCCTCCCCCCTTCCCCATACACGCCCTCCCTCCCTGATTGTCATTTAAATTATGTTATTCTGAATAGTATTAGCTGCTGATAGCCTAGAACTTTGGAACTTTACCCATGGAACTTTACCTGGTCTAGGAACATATTCTTCTCTTCAAAATTCATTGATCTATAAATGTAGGAGTACGAGAAAAAATCATTGTAGAACAGGGGTTCTGTACCCTAGATGCATATTAGAAACACCAGGGGAACTTTACTATAATATCCATTAGTACCTAATCTCTTATAGTTAGGGTAATTTTGTTGTTTGTTTTTGTTTTAGCCCTTTCATTGTGAACCAATTTTGAGAACCAGTGAGGTAGATTCTGTTGAGAATTCTCCCTCAATTTCTCTGGCAAATAATTTTGTCTTCTGTGTTTGAATATTTACTTAAATATTATACTCATGAGGTCTCTAATTTTAGAAAATTATTGGCTCTTGAAATGTTAGTCACCCTCTTAACAATACTAGAGTTTTGTGCTTGGTTGTACATATCAATATAATGATCCTTATTTGACCACCTTTTTCAGACCTATGTTTTCATAGTATAGAAAATAATTGTAAAAAATTATGTAGAAGCTTTGGTCAGGTGGTTCAGTTGGTTGGAGCGTCGACCCATACACCAAAAAGATTGTGAGTTCGATTCCTGGTCAGGACACATACCTAGGTGTGGGTTCAATTCCTGGTTGGGGCACATAAGGAAGGCAACCAGCTGATGTTCTTTCTCACATTGATGTTTCTCTCTCTCTCCCTCTTTCTCCCTTCTTTCTCACTTCTCTCTAAAATCAATAAAACATATCCTTAGGTGAGGATTAAAAAAATATTATGTAGGGTTTCACTTGGAAAAATTTTCAAGATTATTATATTATTTATTTTTTGGAAGAGCTTTATATAAAGTAAAAGCATTATTATAGGAATGAATTTTTAAATTTAAAGCCCTCATTTAGCATCCTTTGCTTGTGTGTAGTATTTGCAACTCAGGCTGGGATTACTACAGTGTTAACCGAGCGAGTAAATTTCAGATTGAACTATGTTAAATGGCCAATAAGTGGACCAGTTTTGACATGTAAAAATGTCAGTTTCATTTGGGGGGGTGGGGTGGAGATGGGAAAAAGACTTGAAGTCTACTGATAAAGAATAAAAAGAGGTTTTCATTTACTTTTTTGGAAGATTTTACTAGCAAGAAATAGGTTTAACCTTGACAGGAGCAACTTTTTTTTTTTTTTAATCAGTGATAGTATTCTTTACCAAGTTGTCTACTTTGTGCCATGTGCTTTATCTATATTATCTTATTGGATTCTTATAACATTCAAAATGGCTATTTTTTAATAAAAAATCTGAGATAAAGACCATTTAGCTTGTAAGTGGCAGAACTGGTTTACTAACTCATTTGTTTTCTATAAAACCTTTACCTTTTCCATTTTGCTAGTAGTGTCTTTAGATTTCTTTTTATATATAGTTTTCTGTTTGAATGGATATGTTAGGGCAGAGGTGGGGAATGTTCAGTCTGCAGCTGTATAAAAGCCTGTGAAATCATTTGGCCCTGCCACGGCATTAGTGGTGAATTAATCAAATGTTTGACCAAATATACTAGTAGCAGGCTAATTTTTAAATTGATAATTTTGTATGCCTTTAAATGATGTTATAAATATCTAAATGGCCCTTGGCAGAAAAAAGGTTCCCTACCTCTGTTTTAGGATATTTAAGGGAAGCAACAACTAAATATTCAAATAATTTAAATAATTTATATATTCACTCTATATTTTAAACTCAGAGAAGGGAATTGTTACAATATAAACAACAAGTCTGTTGGCAGTATAATGGAAGGCTATTGAGCACTTGAATGTGGCTAATGTGAATTGAGATGTGCTATAAAAAAAATTGAGTCATGAAATCGCTTTTTTGTTCAATCTAAAAAGCATTTTCCTAATGAACTTATGTTGAGCATGATGGGTGAGTTTCCTGGCCTATCTTCTAAAACAATGTGTAAATTACTAGAAGAATTAGTTCATCTTTGAGAATTGGTATGTATTTATACCAATTCTCAAAGATTAAATTAGGTAACAGTTGAAAATACCTACTGCAATTTGGTTTTCACTAGTTTCAGCCACTGGTGATGATATTCATGGCTTCAGACAGGATATCTTCTGGTGGAACACCTATGTGAATCAGGGGAAGTGTGGAGCTGCTGATACAAATCATTAGTGATGTTTCTCAGTGCTGTAGCTTACTGTCATTGATTTTCTTCGAGGATAGGCTACCTGGACCCTTTCTGTTCTGCTAGTTGTTGCCATATATAATTTCTTTCATTTACTGCTGTCCAGAAGAATCCTTTCTGTCATATATATAATAAGATCTGTACCTTTTAGCAGAAAGAAGAACCAGGAGAAGAAAATGCCATGTATTGATATGCCCACATTGTTATTTCTAACCTTAAAGGGACACAGGTAATTGATTTATGAAAGAAAGAGCTGCCTCTAAGATAATTCAGGACATAAAGTAGACTGAGAGTCATAAGACCTGGATTCTATGCTAGACACTGGTGCTAAGTAGTTGGTAACTTTAGGCAAACCATCTAATCTCTTTGAGCATCTTTTTTTTTCCTTTTTTTTTTTTTTTTTTTTAAAATGTGTAAAAATAGAGGCAGGGTGGAAAGTGTTGATGAATTATTTCTAATGTAAGTTTTTCTTTTGAAAATGGATAAGAATTTTAGCTCCAGGGACTGAAGAGTTAATTGTATTTAGTAGTTCACCTATCTCTAATACCGAAAAAACATTTTCTGTACTATAATGCCTGTCTTTATTTTTTCATGTTGTGCATTTCTTTTTTTAATCTTTTCCTTTTTCCTTTTTTTTTTTTTTTTTTTTTTTAGAGCTTATTATCTGTCCTTTCCAGAACCAATTTCTTTGTTTCTAATCCCAATTAATGGTAACTATTGCCTTCTATCCTTAGTGTCATTGGTTAGAAATACCTGTGTCCTCTTTAGTTCAAAAGCTGATGCTGCTTCTTTTTTAACACCTAATCAGTTGCCACATCCTGTCACTTATACCTCCAGGAGATATTACCAGCCTGTCCTTTTCATTCCTACTAAATTGCCCTAATTCAGGTACTCCTGTGAAATAATATAGTGGCCTATCCACTTACCTTTTTTCTTCTTTTTTTGTTCTGTGACTGGAATTAGAATTATTTTCCTAAAGCAGAGGTCTCATTAGGTCTGCTTTCCTTAGAAATGTGCACATGGGTTAGCATTGGCTGTTTAGTAGTGTTGGTAATGTGGGGGCCCTACGTGATTTGACCTCAGATTGTCTTAAAAATTGTTTTTTTCTGGACTCTTTTTTTAGAGCAGTTTTAGGTTTACAGAAAAATTGAACAGAATCTATAGAGTCTTCATGTACTTACCCGCTAAACTGTTTTTTAGTGCTATCCTCTAATGTGCTATTTGCTCCAGCTGAAGTCATGTACTGAGTAACATCCAATTCTATTGAGACCACCACCCCTTAGCCTTTTATCAGTCATTGATTTGAGTCAAGGGAGACTGTGTGGTCATAATGCCTGGCTTCCCTACATTATCTTTACCTCCTTCAAGATGAACCTCTCATACTATATACATTACTTTTCTATTGCTGTGTAACAAATCACTACAAACTTAGCAGCTTGAAAAACTGCACATCTATTATTTCACAGTTTCTTTTTTTTTTTTTAAATAATATTTTTATTGATTTTTTTACAGAGAGGAAGGGAGAGGGATAGAGAGTTAGAAACATCGATGGGAAACATCGATCAGCTGCCTCCTGCATATTCCCTACTGGAGATGTGCCCGCAACTAAAGTACATGCCCTTGACTGGAATCGAACCTGGGATTCCCCCAGTCCAAAGGCCAACGCTCTAATCACTGAGCAAAACTGGTTAGGGCTATTATTTCACTGTTTCTGAGTCACTTGCTTAGGGTTTCACAAGGCTGTGATCAAGGTGTTATCTGGGCAATATTATCATCTATAGAGGCTTGATTGCAGAAGAATCAATCTGCAATCAAGCCTCTATAGATTGCTGGCTCTCAGCTGTAGATAGCCCTCAGTTCATAGATGCCATCCACAGTTCCTTGCATGTAGCCTTCTCCAACATGCTCACTTAACTTCATGAGGTCTTTAGAGTATCTGTCCTTTTAGCTTAATAAGATGAAGTCTTATATAATCCTACCTAATAAAAAAGTAATATGCAAATTAACCATCACTCTGCTCAAGCCACGCCCACCAGCCATGGCCATTTAACTGTCCACACTCTTCTCCCTCTTTCCTTATCTTTAAAATCTCTTCCCCATCTTTATTCTTGGACGATAACCTTGCTTATTTTACTGAGAAAGTTAAAGCAGTCTGTAGAGAACATCCAAGGATTTCCACCATCACATTTACCTACTAGCATTTACACTCATATATACTGCTTTCTTATTTACAGATGAACCAGCTGTGCTTCTGTCTAAAGCCATTCTTTCTATATGTGCAC